CTCCCAATTCCATAAACGAAACGATCGTGACAAGAGCTTTCGCTGCAAGTCCCATGATTATTTTGAGTGATCTTCTCGGAAAAAGATACTTGAACTCGTTGGATCGTTGGATCTTCTTCGTGGTGGAAAATCTCATTCGGCTGGAAAAATGCCAGCTGTTTGATGCATCATGATTTTGTTTGACACTCGCCACCAATGGCTTTTGGCCAATTAGCTTTGCACCCAAATCGAATCCCCCTAGCGGCACCCACATCCCCCTCCTCCAGGCTTTTTTTTCTGGTGCCCTTTCAAAAAACAGTGAAAGAAATACTTAGAACTTATGAATGATAACAAGTTTATGAAATCATTATCAACACATTTCTTTCGATAAGTTAAGAAACGTTTTTTAATGGAATTCATACACGCAATAATTGTAAGAATTCGAATCATTCAATGGCCAAAAGTTATCTTGGTTTTTCTCAAGGGCCTTTCTTTTCTCAGTGTGCCGTAATTATTCGAGATTGTGCCCTGTGTGTTTGGTTGTTTATCTGGGCAAACATAAAACAGAAAATGAAAAACCAAATAAACGCTAATTGGAAAAGCATATTTTATATGGACTGTGTGGACTCCCCCGTTTTCTGCCCCTCCCCCACCGATTTTCCCGGGACTTTCGGCCCGATCTGCCCGCTTCTCCGCTACGAAATCCCCCTGTTCTTGTGGCACGCACTTCCCACTCATAAAAACTGGAAACATTTTTGGAGAAATATGTGTGTTGTTCGCTCGCCCCGGCGACCATAAAAATGCTGTTGGGCAACCCTTTGGTTTTGTCTACCAGCTGAGGAGTGTTGGTCTGAATGGGGATAACTCTGGAGGGAGGGAGGGAGGAAGGGAGGAAGGGCCAAGTCGAGCCGGCTGTCAAATGAAATGCCGTGTTGGCCATCATGATTACTTTTGACATTTGTGGCAAATGTTCCAGCCGAAATACTTTTCTCACTCTCGACTGGCTATTTATAAATAATCAAAAAATCGTTGACACAATCGAAAGGCGGGGGAGATTGGCTTAGACGCCGTTTAATTGTTTTATGTTCAGTGTTCTTCGTAGAGGAATAAAATCAATTTTAATTACATTTAGTCGCTGACATTTTGATGGCTGACAAGCGGTGGGTGAATAGAGGGCGGTGGAACGGGGCAAAGCCAAGGCCCTCTTCTGGTTTTTCTGACGAAAACCAGTTCTGCCCAATCCTCAATCCCCAAACCCCAAACCCCAATCCACAATCCCCAATCCCCAATGCTCAATGGTCCGTTTCGGTCGCAGTCGAAGTCGAAGTCGAAGTACAAGTCTCTGTCTCAGTTTAAGTCCCAGTTCCAGCTCTGCTTTTGGTTTCCCTCTTATTTTCTTATATAGTTGGTTGTTGTTTTTTCTTCTTTATTTTTTTTTTTTAGTTGCATCCTAACGAAAACCTGGAAACTTGTCGTTGTTTTTGCTGTTCGACAGAGCAACTTGCTGCGAACTCGTTTGGTAGCATTTTGGGTGGGCGAGGGGCTGGGACAATTGCGCGGGCGGAGGGGCGTCGACATGATTTGCACTACAAAACAAAAATTTTTTTAAGGAGCAGGCGCTCCTCTCTAAGTGCACTAAAAAAAGGGGAGGGGACATTGCAAAATTTTTAAAATTACAGATTAATAAAAGATCTTAAATCTGGCAAAGAAATCCTGTCAAACTCATTAACATAAATTGGTTGCCTTGTAATTCCTGTAATAAATGAAATAAAGTAATTTACATTTGATCAGAATTAATTGGGTAACTAGTCATTTTCCGGATTGTTTTTTGTTTTTTATTTTCTCCCCATTTTTTTTGCCGGTGTAAATCCCTTCTTGTCCACCGCCTCCTTTCGTTGCTGCCTCTTTTTCGCGCTGCATTTTTCGCGTAGGCCGCGTGGAGTGCAGCGAACTTGGTAGCCGAGCTGGAGATTAATGCGCTGCCAGACAAACTCAGCTGGAATATGGTATTTCTGGGCAACTGAAAACGGGGAGCGGTATTCGTGCCATTGGCCAGTAAATCTTGGGCTGCTTTTCGGTCGCGGCCAACAAGTAGATTTCGTATCAGCGCGATGCGTTTTGGGGCAAGGGAGATATTTTCGACCGGCGATTTCCGAGAACTCTCATGCATATGGAGAGAAGGCCAGGGGATCAATCATAGGAATGCTAGAGATTTTCACGGCAAACATCTACAAAATTTACCATTATCTGCATGATAGCTACAAGAAGATAGGAAGCTTAGAGATTGTAGCATACACACACAGAAAATGGCAAATTTTAAACTTTAAATAAATTGAAACTAAGAGTAAAAAATTAGAAAATGTTTCATATATTAATAGAAATGCATAAATTATTAATATATATGATAGGACAGACTTTTCATTTCCTCAATTAAAATCTTTCTTCAAAATCAATTCTCAATTATACAGTCATAAAAACATAAACAAAGAATACAGCATATTTTTGCCGAATAAACAATAATCAAACTCCCAATGGAGTTAAAAATTCTTTAACAATCAACTCCCAGAATTGCATTTATAATTAAAATTCACCAGGGACCTCCGAATGAGATTCTCTGAATGCATTCACTTCTCTTCTCAAGTAATATTCTTTTGGGGAATCATAAATATTCGATTGCTTAAATTCCGCAGAGATATCCAAAAATTGTTTTGTTTTTGTCGCGATGACGGCATTCTTTTCACCCTTCTCTTAACACTTGTCATAATTTGTTAATATTTCATTCAGGCGTATTTTTTTCCCTTTTTCTGTTGGCAATTATGCGATTACAAGCTTTTTTTGGTTCGTCAGATGCGTGTTGTTGAAATATTTTCACAACAGCTATTGATTTTGAAGTTCTTTGTTTGGCCGCAACTTTTTTTATTCGCGTTTCCCTTAATGAACGTGAAATTATTTTCGTTTATGATTGAAAGTATTTCATTAGCTGGCGCTGTGTGAAAAGAGGCGAGTGTATCTGTATCTGTATCTGGCGCGGAATGTGCTAGTTCATTGCGTTGTGTTAATTAATGCGCCTTGAAATCAGTCGGTGGTTCGGTGTTTGATTAATGGCACGTTTACCAGGACGCCGGAAGACGCATTTGTGTCTACGGCAATGCAAATGCAGCAAGGAATTGACCATTTTGCGGTCGAGACGCTGTTCCTGCAACTGCACTCCAAACCGCACTTGTGTCTGAGTTCAGTGGCGCAGACAAGGGGTTTTGGGTACCACGTATTAGGTTGGTAATTTGGGATGCTTTTTTATATATTTTAAGTAGTTAAAAATGATAATAATCACATAACTTATTGAATTTTTAATGCAATCTAAATTTAATTTAATTTTTTTTACTCAAACTTAATTTTTAACATTAAAAAATCGCTTTTTTTTAAATTCAATTTTTTTTTTTTTATATAAAATACAAAACAAATGTGTATTACATTATAAATAGATTCTTATAAAATTGGTTAAAATATTTTTACACTCATAAATGTTTTTCTAAAATCGCTTTTTTTTTAAAGAAAATCCTTGCGTGCGCCACTGCCTGTTTTTCCGTATTCGCATCTGCACCGATGCATTTGCATCTCTGCGGTTCATTTGAGGTGTCTGCTGTCTAGAGCCTTTGGCTTCACTTCTTTCTCTTCAATCCGCCTGCCCTCTTCCCCGAGTATCTTTTGATTGATTTTGATTCACTTCGTGCCCGGCTGGGTGTTATTCAATTTTTGTGCCATATCATAAATTTAATTTGAGATGAAAATCCCAAAGATATGCCGCATTATCCCGAGCCCGTGCTGCTCCATTGTATCCCCATACAGATACAGATACGGATACACGGATACATGGATACACGGATACACGGATACAGATACAGATACGTTTTTCGATCGCCCGGCCACAATAACGGATTACATTTGAAATTGTTTGGCATTGGCGCCCGCTCCCCAAAATCCCCCCGTTTCGTTCCCAAGTGTTTTTCCAATATTACACGATGACTTTGAATATTTTGTCTGGGCACATCATGGGTGGGATTTTGTGATTAGAGCGATACACCAGTCCAATCGGATAAAGAGGGCGGCAAGTGTAACAAATATGCCGGCCATTGGCAGTCGGACATGGGAGACTACAAACTGCCAGATACCAAAATGGAATCCACACTTATTCTGATTGTTTGCCCAGCAGCAGCAGCAGCAGCAGCAGCAGCAGCAGCTCCTCCTCTCCACCTCCCCCTCCATCGCCTCCTCTTTCACCTCGATTCTCCTCGTTTTTTTTGGGTGGTGAGAGGGAAAACCAGTTTTGGGATATTTGAAAATGCTGAACCGGAGCCAAGAATGATTTTTGGTTAGCATTCGGGAAATCGATGGATATGCGGTAGGCTGCTGCTGCAGAACGGGAAAGATGAAAACAGATTAGGCAGATGCAATCGTTGTTGCCAAGGGGAAAACAATTCACATTTGCTAAGCGGCATTACTACTGGGAAATTGGGAAAAACGCACGAGTTTTGCTTTTAATTATACGCTAGATTAAATTTGTACGTAAATAGACGGTAAAATGGAGAAATTACATGTGTGAATGCATTTCGTAACAGATTGATAGATTTATTTTTTTTAACAAAATAGGTATTGGCTTTACAAGGAATAAATATTGGTGAAAAATACCCAATGTGGTTTTAATTTAATTAAGGTTTGCAGAATACAGTGAAAATAGGGGAACTTATGCATCAAACTTGACTAACAAAATTAAACATACATATATTAAATGAAACGAAAACAATAAATCAATAAAAAGAATATAAACTCAGCTTGAAACAAAAGAATGGAATTTAGTGTATCTCTCTTAAAAAAGAGCTTTAATCAATAAATAAATTCGATATTTAAAAAATAGCGACCCAAAAAGGAAAGCAAAGTGAAGCGTAACGAAAAGTCATAAAGTTGTTGTCGCAAGACAACCGCACAATGTTATTTACATATATATATTTTCTATTCCCATTTAGATCCGAAATAACCAATCGGCAGCCATGAAAAAGATCTAAAATCAGTTAAAGCTATCGAATCGGAGAACCAGAGCGAGTGGAAATCCGATAGATAGGGATTTCGACGGAGAGAATTCCATTGAACCGAGCGGAATACACTTGCAACCGCGGGTGGCAATGCCACCGAGGCCCCTTTGGGCCCCCCTGCCCCTGCCCATGCATCGAACGGGGTGCAGACGACTCGCGATCGCCGCTGAGGGTTGAATCCTGCACTTGCCATTAACAATAATAATAGTTGTAATAATTAATAAGCGACAAGAGCGAGCGTCACAACACAACAAACAAAAAACAAAAAACGAAAAAGGGGGAAAAAAAAAAAAAAAAAACAAACAAACATAATTAAATAATAAATTATCGACATAAATCGTGAAGTGAAGTGCACTCGCACTCTCGGTACAGTGAACACCAGACACAAAATGACTATGAAATCGATGAAGTACTCCGATTGTGATACCATCATGGATGGCTACAATCCGGTGCCACCGCCCCTGCCCCGCCGAGTGCCCCCCGTGCGAAATATCTACGCTGAGCCCTTTGCCCACGAGCCGAACCATTCCAGCAGGTAAATAATTCAGACACTCAATACACTGAACGAAACCTAGAAGTAGGTTTCGCTTTTAATATCAGGAAGTCTTCAAATGATATAGAAAATATAATATATTACAGTATAAAACTATTTCAAAAAGTCTGCTAAAATATTATGATTTACTTTTTTTGTTTTAAATACCTGAACATGTCTTATAAAAAGTATATTTGGTCACACTGAAATGGTTTCATATAAAAAATACTTTCAAAAAACACAATGGAATTTCTTATTATTATTAAACTAGTTTTTTTCTGCCAGTGCATTCACCTGCATACCTATGCAAATAATTGTAATTAAGTCGAGTGTCATCGCGAATTTACAGCGCTATCAAAATGCCAGGGACAAAGGCAAATGGCGATTATGCACAGGTCAACTCAGGTCAACCATGTCGTAATGTGTCGGACCTGCAATGCCATGAAATCATTGCCAAAATATTGCCACAGATTCCAGACTTAATTAACATTGAAGTCCTTGGTTCGGCTGTGTTGAAATGCTTACAATAATAAAGGCAATTCTGGGGAAAATCAAAATTCGATGCATTCGAAGCCTAATATGAATGTGAGATGAATCTAAGGACTTTGGTTAAGTGCTTTGAACCTTAATTAAACATTGGTTTCCCCAAGAAAATATAACCTGAGTGCAGAGTAAAGTGCTTTTTATCATAATTAAATAGTTTATATTATGAGTGTTTATTAGCAAAACAAGACGTAAATTAACTTTTGGAATGTGGTTGGTATGGTTTATTTTAACAAGGGATATTTTGGTTAACTTGTTTTCCAAAAAGCAAAGGCCAATTTAATTGATGCAACATTATTCCAGCTGAAGTTATTTTAGTAGATTAGAATTGGCATTGTCGTTCTTCAGATCTTTTACAAATTAAATACATGTTTGTACTGAATTCAAATCAAGCTAAGCTCAAATTGTTTCATTTAATAATCATGGAAATGTTTTAGAGTATATTAAAAGTATCGTCAATCCAAATCCATTGAATTTTACCAAGGAAAACTGTGCCTTTATTGCCGTGTCACCTTAAGGTGTTGCTTTGTTCTCCTTTTTCAAAACTCTGTTCGCAATCCCAATCATCCCCAATTCAAAAGCAAGAAACTGGAACACAATTGCAATAAACGCACGCCTCGATGAGTAGCTCCTCTATTTTTTTACCTCCCACTCACTCACATGCCACAGAGTTGCATATTAAAAAGAGAAAAGGGAAAAATATGTGTATATAGATGGAGAAAGAAGAGCAGATGATAAAGAAATGTCCCATATAAAGCGGCGTGAGTCGAGTGTACAATATGCATTTTCATATCAGAATAAATAGACAGGCGAGAGGTGCGGAGTTCTCACTGGGAAATAATATATATAAATATGTATATATAAAAATATATACATGTAGCCCACAACAATGGCCGGAGGTGGTGAGGGGACGGTAACGAGGGCAGACAGATGGAAGAGCTTACGAGGACGAGGACGAGGATGCGGATGCGGATGAGGAGCAACAACGGCCAAGTGGTAACCAACAGTCAGCCAACTGATACAAGACTGCACAGGGAAAAAGCACCAAAACAATTGGTCAGTAGTTGGGGGATTATTTTGTTGCCAAAAATGTAGTAATACGCACAACAATATTAAAATTAAGTGAATGCTTAAATTATACAAAACGATAAAAGAAATAAGAATATATTATTTGTCAGCACTAACTTCATTTTAACTTAAATGCATAATATACAAAAACTTTCATTTACTTCCAAATAACATAATTCTCATTAAGATGATAGGTATATTGATTACCAACATTAAAAATATATATATGAAGCTTCTCTATTTTAGAGTAAAATTTTTTTTAAACATGTTTTAACTCCATTTCATCTACTTAATTAATTGTCTAAATTTGTACAAAGAATTTTAAAATATCCCTTATTTTAACCTATTAATTGTAAATCTTCGTAATTGTAAAGAAATAACTCATCCTGCAAATTTTCCCCCGTGTAGTGGGTGCAAAAGTGGGCGTTTGGTCGCGTGGGCGTGGCAAATGGGAGGCGGGTTTCGGCAGTGCGGCGCAATATGTTTGCCTGTCAGTTTCATGCATTTCATATCGAAAACCATTCGTACTTTTACTTGAGTGAGTTTTATGAGCAACGAGCCGAGCCTGTACGGGGGATACACATATCCATGAGGATGCTCCACTGGCTACATTGTATCCTTTTTCCAGTTCAAAATGGATGGGCCAGGGCGGTGGTAAAGGGGGCTTTTGACGGCGGGTTTCGGGGGTTTGGGGAGGGAGATGGTACATCAGTGGCCCCGTTTATATGCATAGTTTTTGGTTGCTGTGCGATTGCAAACTGCGAAGTGGGTTAGATTGTGTTCCGCTGGCAGTGTTCGCTCAGCTTTTATATTAAATGAAAATTCCAATTACTTTTTATGGGACTACCGAAACGCGCTCCACAAAAGGGGTGCTTCAAAATTTACTCAAACTTAAATAGTTAACATATAAGTGGGGAGTGGTTCTTGGACAAAAATATCACTCTAGTTTAGTTAGTATAAATGTATTTTGTAAGTGAATTCTCCAATAATAGGATTGTAAATGCACATCTCTTTACTGCGTTTAAGATACACTCAGTTAAAAATACATATATACTTGCTTAGAAACCTATTTACAATGCACTTCTGCCTGTGCTGATTTAAGCCCCCTTGAATGTCAAAGTTCCCCCTATTTAAGCTGCTCGAGTTCAAACCGAAAAAATTACAATAAATATTTCTCTTTCTCTCTTTTCGCCACTTCTAGGTAAGTTATGGAAACATGCTGGCAGTCCTGGAATACGACAACGACAACGACAACGAATACGAATATATATGTATATATATGTATATATATCGGTATATATAGAAATGTACATGCATATTTGAGGAGCGAGGGCAGGAAAAAGAGCCTCGCTTCGCTCAACTGCAGAACTTCGAAAAGCCGGGGGAATTTAATAATTCAAGTGGCCGGGCGAAGGGCGAAGGCCTCTCTAATGACCTACTTGAAAACAAACAACAACAGTAACGAAAAAAGTATGACTACCCACCCACCGGTGGGTTTAAGGTGGCACCACCCAACCACCCAATCACCCTGCAGCTGAACCACCCACCATTCGCATATAAGTAATTTGTGTGCTCGTGTGGGTCAGGTGGTTTTTCGGTAGCCAGAAACTTGTTTAGTTTTCGGTTTGGCTTAGTTCAGTTTCAGTTTTCAGTTTTCAGTTTTCAGTTTTGAGTTTTTCTCTTCTCCGTTTTCTATTTTCAGCTTTAGGTTTGACTTGCAAGCTAAGTTTTGCACTCCAAGTGCATTTCACTAGCAAAAATCCCAACACACACACACACACACACACACACACAACATAACCTCTTGACCCAGTCCAATCAATAAGCCTCACCATTCTGGCAACACAATCATCTATTCCCCCCTTCCTCTCTCCTCTCTCCCCAAAAAGCCAAAAAAGCAACAAAAAATCGTGATGAACATTATGATTGAAATGCCGGGCTTCATATCATTTCGTTGGACAAACAAGTCGCACAAAAGTTCCGAAGGAGGGGGACACATCATATCATACATACACCATATTTACTGTACCTAGTTGATGTGTATTCTTATGGCAATCGGAGACAACTCGATTTTGCTCGTTAGACAACATTTGTTTCGGACAGTTGGCAACTAATTTGTTTTGAAATGGATGTCGAGAGTGTCCTCGACCCCCAGGACCTCATTTTTGGGGGACGGGGAGTGGATGGCTCACCCAAGGGTCAGAAAATTGAATAAAAAAGGCACAAGAGCTGAGAAAAGAAGCAGGCAGTGGGACTTATGCCATGAGCATGTGGAGCTCCTACTCCACCTTTTTCATCTCCCGAAAATAAGAGGCCCGCTCTCCTTGGCAGTAAATATTGTGCCACATTTCTGATAGATTCAGCAAGAAAATGTTCAACGTTGATCCCTCGAAACTTTGTAGTAAGCGCTTTATATATTTAAATTTGTGGATGAAATGAACATTTTACTTTTCTGCAAGCACAAAAGTTAAGTGCACTATGGTTGGAAAAAGCAATAAGCCTTATAGGTTGTACATAATGTTGTATTAACCAATTTTCGATAAACTTTTACTGTATTTTAATCCGAACGAAAAAACATTCTAACCGATTACACAAACCTTTGCTGTATCAAAATAACAACACTAAATCTTGGGTTTTCATTCGTGTATTTGATGAAATAATGCTGTCAGATCCAGTGATGGAATTTAGAAAGCCATTGGAAGAGTTTGAAAGGACATTAAAAGGACCTCAATCAGTTTTCTTTTCGGTTTCGTTTTGAAGGACTTCCTCCACGATCGCCGAACTTTCGCTAATTTCAACCGAGGGCAAAGTATTTGATACTTCTGGCAACTCTATCAAAGGGATGGGTGCGGCTCTACTTCCTAGTAAATTCTTCAACAAGGAGTTAACACTTGGAAGATAATAACCAGGATCTTGATCAGAGCTCAAAATGCCAGATTTTTCTTCGGAGTTTTTCGGGTGGAAATCTTCATTAGTTAAAGAATTAGTTGAACTTGGTTCAGTCAATTGGGAATCCCTTTGCCCTTCTTGTTGGCCATCCGTTATGGTAAAAAGTGCTGACAGGGAACCCAAAACATCGTCAACATCTTTTCGAATCTCTGGATTGGATCTCCGATGCTCAGGGCTTCGCAAAGTGGAGCCCGCAGAAGGAGATTGCCCAGATTCATCGAGGATGTCCAACATTTCCTCTCTGGTATCGGATATATTTTCTGGAAGACAGGTTTATTTAGGTTTGATAAGTATAGCTTGGAAAATTAAAAAAAAGCTTAACGATCGCTTTAAATACATTTATTATTTTTCTATTTACTAAAAACAAATATTAAGTATTTAATATTTCACTCACTTGGCATCATCCTACGTTTAATTTTCTTTGACGATGCTTTGAGACCTCGTGAACTTCCCCTTTTCTGCAAACTTTGAACACTATTTGAACTGGCTTTTCTTTTGATGGGCGCGCTTTGAATTGGTGGTTCGGCAATGGTCACCGATTTACTCGAGGATTTTCGGGACAAAACTAAAGGTTTCACGATGGGATTGACACTAGAACCAGCAGATGCTTCACTTTGGGCTATGGGATTAGCACCGGGAACCGCGTTTCCCGGAGCTGGAGCCATCGTCTGTCGGAGTTTTGTATTCTCTGCAAATAACAGAGCCCTCAGATGCTTCATTTCTTCGGTGAGCCTTGATCGCCGCTCTTCCAACTCTTTCAACTTTCGATGCTCGCTGTCCAAACTGGCGAAAAGTCGAGCAAATACGGCATTATTCTGCTCTTGAGTGCGACGTTGGCTATTCAAGCGATTCGGAGGATTCGAAGATGAACTGGCAGTGGGTTCCATGGAACTCTCGTTATCCTCGACTTTCTTCTCGGCCATGGCTTTAGTTTTTGGAACTAGAGCTCGAGGTTCTTTGGAGTTCTGAAATTGTAGAATCCCCGGTCGCCTAATTCGTAGTTTCTAGATCTGAAACAACAAAATTTTGATGGAGTGTTTCGAAATTAAATTTTGGTGTTGTGTTTAGTTACTGTTTTGTATATGAACTGAGCTGATTGATTCATGACTTTAGAGTTCGAAAACTGCTAATAGAGTAAAGCCTACTTGGGAAATATAATATATATTTTGGAACCCACTTCGAACTTCAGATCACAAATATTTTATGTTTATTAAATATTGAAAACCTATGATTGCTCTTTCATTTTGTATAATTTATTCAATTAGCAATCCCAACACACCCATCTCGACACTTCGTATTTTTCTGCCATTAAAGTTCCAATTGATAAAGTCGCAGAGTCGCCCCTCCAGAAGTACAAATAAATCGGAGTGTGATTTTATTTGCGCTCCCTGTGCTGCCATTATCCTCGGCCTTTTAGCCACTCTCAAATTGGTCGAACTATTAAAGTGAAAAACTTTTTAGCTTCTGTTTTTTCCCCCCTCTCGTTCGAATTGCTTCCATTTTATTCGGACTCTCATATTTTGGCAGACAAACTTCAAACTATTGTTGTGGCAAGTCAATGAACTGGCAAAATCGCCTAATATTTCCACACTCCCAGACACTTCTCCGTACTTCTCCGCTTGTTTTTCCGTAGAACAGAAACACAAAATACAAAAAAAAAAGAGAAAAGAAAAGGAGTTTTCCCAGGGAGCTGCCTGTTTTGTGCTCTGAATGGCCAAGTATATTAAAAGTCTATTTCTTTTGGCAAGACAATAAAGTAGCGCGAGGGCGCAAGGATAGTGGTGAAGGACAGTGGCTCACCCTGTCCGTTTTGTTGTAACAAAGGCACACGAAGATGAAGTAGGAGCCGAGGAGCCGAGTAGCTGAGGATTCAGGACTCAGGACTCAGGACCCAGGATTCCGGGGATCCCAGGATCCCAGGACTTTGCCACTGGGATGAATGAGATGGCGGGCGGGCGGCTATTGTTCTACTTCGCGAAATAGCGCACATAAAAAGCCAGAGAACGACGGCCATAAATGATAAAAAGGGGCAATGAAGGGTTGGAGGGTTGGAGGGAGTGGGGGAAATTGGTGGAAGCCGAAACTGAACCCGAAGTGGGGATAAATGACAGCCAACTGGCAGCCAGACAGAGGCGGCTACAAAAAAATACAAGGGGGGATGAAAAAGGGAAGGGGATAGTGGCAGAAAAGGGCCAGGAAAATAGGGAGCAGAATGGACAGCAATAAGGGGAGAATTTCCCAGAGAAGAGAGAGGGCGCCGGAAGACAGAGGCGCTAAGGAAAAAAGGGCCAGTAAAATGGTATAAAATGCCAGGCCGACATCGACATTTTCCCGCCCCAACACCCTCCCCCCCCCACACACACACACTTTAACCCCCTACGCCACTGTCAATTCGGGCGACGTCTACGAGGAAAAGGGTTAAAAATGTTTCATTGCCTCGACAGGACTGCGAAGACAACATATGCCAATAATTTACGCAATTTAGACAAAGCAAAAAATACAAAAACAAAAAAGGAAAATACAAAAATACAAGACGGGGGAAAAATAAAACAAACAAGAATGAGAAGACAGCTTGGGAAACATTTCAGAGGGAAAAGGCCCAGGAAAATATTCTCTTCGGGCAAATCCATCAGAGCCACCATCCCAGAGCCACCCAATTTTATTTAACCCCTTCTCCCCTTCAAAAGAGAAGCAAACCGAATTGATGCCCAATTTTATATTTTAAATGTTATTCAAATTGTGTCACATTTCTCAGTGTAATGGCTTGGAATTGTCTGCAGAAGAAAAGGGTTTTTTTCACCCGATTTGTTGTTGTTCTTTTCGTATGTTGCGGCTTGTTTGGGGAAACTCCTCTCGAATTGCTAACCCTCATTCTATTTATCGGCTGCCATTTCTCCATTGCTATATATATATATATATATATATATATAGGAAAGTGTTTATATAAGAAGTGCGATATATATGGAGAGATGCCTTAGAAATGAGCGATTCTCCGGCGATTTAAATGCGCTAAGCTAATTAGCTGTGGCCAACAGCACACGGAGAAGTTGGCCAACGCAACTGACCCTCAAAGGTTGCCAAAGGCCTCCGTTCACGTTTGCGGAAATTGCGTCATTAACAGGCGCTTAGTTTAGTGTGTGCGGTAAATAAATACAATGAACACTATAAGCGCACAGCCATGGTCATGAAAATATGGCACAAAAGTGACTGAATTTGGAAAACAATTAATCAGGTTGAAAGGCTTAAACTTACCCCGCAGACATTTTTGTCTTGGACTCAACTCAAGTTACAAGATAACAATAACTGCAGAATCATTTTGTATTCCCAAAGCTATTATGATGACCACAACTGTAGTATATATCCCACCCCGTCGGTCGGCGAGACATTAACCCTAAGACCTTTGATTAATGCCGGCTCAAAAGACACAAAAAGGGAAGCGAACAAAGCGAGGAACAAAGTCTCGTAATGAGACTGCCATTCCGATGATATGACATCTTGTTGTTTGGCTCCACTCGACTGAATGACTCAAGGACCAAGGACCAAGGACCAAGGAGCCGAAGAGCCCAACAATCGAACGGGCGAAGGACCAAGCGGGGGGACGAAAGGACCAAAAGGACCTCTTCTCTGCCGCACTTTGCACCCATCTCAATTACAGTCCTTCAGCGGAGAGTCATCTTCCTGCCGACTCGATTCCTTTGGTCATTTCACCTGCCTCCAGGGGTAACTTTTCACAAGGCGAACTCCTTAACCTACTGCCCCTGCCACGCCTCCCACACCAATGCCCACGACCACGGCCACGCCCACATTTACCGCCCCTGCTAATGATGTCCAATTCAGTGTTCGATGCGATCCCAGCTCCCCGGAGGCCAGGTGCTCGGAACAAATGAAAACAAATCCGAGGCGGAGGTGGAGGTGGAAACCGAACTACATGACATCTGGAGTACTAAACATCCGATGGCCGGCACATCCTCGCCTGCTAATTGGACAAGTGAAAGTGAAATGAGGTCCTAACCCCGGGCTGTTTGCCCAGAAATAAGAACCATTTCGATGGCCAGCTAATCGCATACTTTGCAGGGCAAAAAAAAGCAGAACACAAAACATGTCCTGTAATTGGGTGGTTAGAAAGTAAAAAGCATGGAAGCTTGGAGATATGTTTTTTTAAATTAGGCCACGTGTTTTTGGGTCACTGAAAATTGAAACGTAACAAAGCGGAAAAATATGTCTTATTAAATTGGGTTACATGTTTGATTTTAGATAATAAGTTCAAAATAATTGAAGAATATATTGTAAAACATTTTACTTGTTTTACAAACAGGAACTTTTGATAATTTTATGAACACGCAAAGGTATTTCATAACATTTCTTTCTTTTGATCCTGTGAAAAAGGTTATCTTCTTTCATTTCTTTTCCTCCAAGAAACTGTCAAAACATAAAAAAAAATGTCCATGAACAGATGCAGTTCAAAAGCCATCACGTCAAAGTTATGTGAAACCAATCACTCCTTTGAATAAATCAAAAACTTTCATTACTTCCGCCCGAGCAAAGTCGGTCTTGCAACGCCTTTTCTCCCGATGTATAGTAAGCTAATCAGACGCACTCCTGCTCGACTAATGCCAAGTCAAAGGGAAAAGCTCCCGCCGCCTTTTCCAGTGCCATTTCCATCTCCACATCTATTTTCCTTTTCTGTTTCTGTTTCTATTTCAGTTTCAGTTTCGGTTTCGGTTTCAGTGTCAAAGTCAGAGGCCGGGTCAAAAGGCGCATCAATGCTACTGAGCATATTTTGCGGTCGCCTCGCTTTTCTCCCCTTTCCCCCCTTTCACCCTCTGCCATTTCCCCATTTTCCAGCTGCCACTGAGCTTGCTGCCTGGCCCGGCTCTTCCTTACTACTTTTTTTGTTTTCCTTTTTATTTTCTTTTTTTTTTTATACATCTTTTTGAGAACTTTCTGTGTGTGCCATGATGCTGCACAAAAAACTTCCGACAACAATTCTGCAAACGCAAGCAGGAAAACATAAATCTGGCTAAAGCTAAAACGCAAACTTTTATTTAAAAAAGGAGAAAAAAGGCAGGGGGAGGGAGGGGGTGTATGGCTAAAAAGAAAAGAACAAATGGAGGAATTCTGTGTGAGTGCGTGCAAGTGATAGAGGAATTGGATAAAACAGAGACGACGACTGCAGCCGAGAGGTTACGAGCTGGAGCTCCAAGATTGTTCCCCCACCTCGAGACCAACTTATTTTTTCCGAGGGATCCCACTAGGTCGACTGGAGCAGGGCACTTCTCGCAGTTATAAAATATAAAAAGAAACAGAAATTAATACTTGCATTCAACTAAAGAAATGAATGTTGCGTAGATTTTACCGAGCAATATATTTATTATAATAGAAACACATTATAATTTTTTTTATAACTTTCAATATTTTTAATTACATTATTCCATCAACTAGGCAATCACAGTGGTAGGGCATTACATAAGCTCCTTGAATGACCCAAACCGCATTTTGCAATGGACATAAAAATGCGAAAACAAGCTCTTCTCCGCTTCTTCAGACTTGTTTCCCGACCAAAGAGAGGTTTGTCGAAAGAACGAAGAAGAGCAAAGTATCTTGGTATCTTTTTTTTTTTTTTTTTTTGTTCTTTAAGCAAATGTCCACATTTTGACCATTTGAAATCCAAACAGGCAACTTTTATGCCACTGACGTGTGTGTGTGTGTGTGAGTATGTGCTCCTTTATATATTCTTTTTTTTTTTTTTTTTTTGGTTGTATATGTTGTACTACGTGTGAGTGTGGAACAGACTTTGGCTGCCATTTCGACTTGAGCTTGAAATTTTGCAACATGCCTTCGACATCTCTTGGGTATTTTTACGACTATCACAGACGGCCAAAAGACTGACCACAAAAGCCAAGGCGCCCAAGAGCCGCGACCCCGCCTCCGTGTTTTTTGTCTTCTCCGTTTCTGGTTCTGGTTTCGGTTCTGGTTCTGGTTTAGGTTTTGGTTTTGGTTTGGGTTTGAGTTTCGGTTTAAAGCCAGCGCCAAAAACGAGCGGAGCAAAAAGTAGCCAGCTCCTGCCTCAAATGGATTTGGACAGAGCCAAACACACAGAGCCAAATAAAAATAAAGGAAGCATAAAAAACAGATACAGGGGGCAGCGATGATGCACGTGATGCGATTCCTGCCTGGCTTAGAAGATACAAAGATACAAACGCAAACAACTAGAAAAATCAGTGATGCCGATTGTATCTCTTTAAAAAGTTAAGATCAATATGCTGAAACAAACAAATATTTGTCTGGTATAAAAAGCTTAGAAATATTGGTATTATATATTTTTTTGGCCAAAATATTTTATTATTCTTCTTGGAGTTTAAGAAACAACAATCCTGTGATAGTATTGAAAAATTAATTTCTTGTTGATATAAACTCTAAAACTAGAAAAACAATTGTTGTGTTGATATCAACTCTAAAAAAAATTAAAAAACCATTTTTGTGTTGATATCAACTCTAAACTTTATTGTTTATATACCAGAAATATTTCGTAAATAATGTATCGTAAAAATAACAATTTTTTGTTATCTAAAACACGTTAAAACTTGGCTATAAAATGGCCAAGAGCCCAACTCCGACGACAACTCAACGGCACCGACTCAATTCGATTCGATTCGGGAAGAAAGCAGAAGAGAAGAGCAGGCTTTAGCCAGCTGATTTGCCGCCAATTAGCAACTAAGTGGATTTGTAGACCAAAAGCTTAGCCTCAGGATGCCGTGGGTGGGGCCTTGGGTGGTGCGACGGGTGGTTCACTGGGCGGTGGGTGGTGCTCTCGGCTGTCTGTAACGGCGCTACGTGCCAGGTTGAAATGTGAAAAAGTTGCCAATATTTATATCGATAAACAAAGTAGGAATAAACATCAGCGATTCCAATGATGCACTAAGCGAAATAATATATTGTTGAGATTAGGGAAAAAAGAATTTGAGATTTTTAAATATTTAAGAATAATCTTTATATTAACTATTTTAGTTAGTATTTATTTCTGTATTATACTTAAAGTTGGTCTTGCAGAACTTTTTGTTCTTTTAATGTGTTTGTTTGTAGAATGTTTGTGTGACTTAATTTTGTTTTTGACCCTCTTAAATCCACCTGCTTATTGGTGTTTATTTATTGTGGTTTTCTCAGTGTAGGGAGTGAGAGTTCCGAGGATGGATCTTGGTCGAAAGCCACGTGTATGGGATGCGTACGTGCTGCTGTTGAAAAGTGCTGGAGTGGGTTGTCGATTTTTCGGGAGCG